ACAACTAATTAAATTATCAAACAAATAATTTAATTATAATATAATTGTAAATATATAAAAACTTAGTTGTATTGTCTGTTATTTATTAATATTTAGCTATATTGGCTAATTTTTTAATTATATTTAAGGATAACACGTATAAAATTAAGAATGTGTGAAGTAATATTAGGCTTTTCATAAATGTTGCGGTCTGAAAGATTCGTGGCGGTAGCGAGATTCGTGCTTGATCAAGGCAATTTTTTAGGACGTATCAATAAATAAAATATTTTAGTATAGAAAAACTTTTCCCATGTAAAATATATTAAAAAATCAACTTATGAATATTAACTTTTAAACTATTTGATTGTATGCTATATAAATAAATAGAGTTATCCTAAAATATCAATCATGTTTCCAAAAATTAGTCTCTTATTACATAGCATAAGTTATGTGACTTTCATTTAATAAGACGTCACTTTCCATTCGTTGGCATATCATATTATTTAGTCTTCTTATACCTAGATTTTTATATCATTTATGATTACATCATAAATCCTACTTAAAGGAAAGCACATCGACTACCCTCATGTATAAGGTAATATGTCTCCAGCCAATCTGAATCAGTCAATTATTTTTAGTATGTTTTTTCTCACTTTTACACATTTCACATCATATAAATCATAATAACATGCATCATATAACGTATGAAACTTCAGAAATTAAACCGGAGACCATTTGAATTCCGATTTCAGCAAAATTACAGTCGAACTGAACGTCTCAAAAATACGAACCCAACGGCACCAAATTCGACTCAATCCGAACCTAAATAACTCCAAATCAAAGACCTGAAGCATATTTGGAATGTTTAAACCATAATTTGGATTACCAAATGATTTCCAAACATAACATGCTTATAATCGAATTGAGCGGCTAGATTAAACTAATCCAACAAGCCCAGGATTGCCGAATTCTGATATCACTAATACATTTAAATGCCCAATAAATTGTCCACGATCAAGAGATTCAACATTGGCAGTCCATTTAAATCACTCTCAATTTAATTTCCTACTCATTTACATTTTTTTTCTTAATTGATATTAGCTTAATTCTGTATTGATTCGATCTTAAAAAGATTTTATGATTTTTTTTGTGCAATGAGATTTTTAATATCACGTATTTAGTTAATATATTGAAACCGTTCTAACAGAAATCAAGTGATTTGATGATTGGAAGTCATTATGTGAAGGAAAAAAATAAATTAATTCACTATCAAAGTTTTATCATTTTTAAAGCTGATTATATCGGTCCCAAGCCTGGATGTAAAAAGTTGAAGGAAAATTAAAAAAATAATAATAATTTTGCCCCCCCCCCCCCCCCAAAAAAAAAAAAATTTTCCCCCCCCCCCCCCCATAAATACATTTTATGGCTCCGCCACTGTGTAGATCTATCTAGTATGCTTATGGCCAGTATGCATGTGTTTTATCAAAATGCATATTAGACCATATTAATATTAAATAATTTATGCATATTATGTATCTAATGTCAAGATGCACTATACTCACTCCTAATCATTTTATACTTAGTATTATTCTATTTTTTTAAATGACATGTATGCAAAACTAACCAGTGAAATCTCAATTTAAACCAATCAAAATGCTCATAATGATAATATATATCACATATCAAAAGTTACATAATGAAAGTTCACTAAAATGAAAGATATTACGTTTTTATCAATTCAGGAGGGAGAAATTAGGTCAAACCCAAAATCACTTAAAAAAAGTAGGTTTAAGGTTACCTATCACCATAAGAGCACTTTTAATTCACAACTAAAATGATAGAAAATATTAGCCGGATTCTCGCTTTCTCTCACCTCTTTTTTCTTCTCTCACTTCCTGTCTCTCCCCTTCTCTTATGGTGTCAAAAATTGAGTTGCGGGTCGGGTTCGAGTTGAACCCAATATTGATCTGCCACTAAATGGGTCGACCTGAACCCGACCCATTTTTGCATATAGGTCATAAATGTTAACCTGGAACCGACCCGTCGAGTTTTCGGGTTGACCCGATTCAACATGAAATGACAAGAAGGAAAGTCGTTGAAGGAGGCAAAGAACGATGAGTTATTGTGAGTTCCGAGATGACATGAAGGAATGACAAGCTATCGTGACTTCCGTTCCAACTGAAGAATGGTGAGCTATCGTGAACTTGGGACTTCCGAGCTGACTGGAACGAACGTAGTTGATGGAGGTGAAGAACGGGGAACTGTTGTGACTTCCAAGACGACAACAAGGAATGAAAAACTGTCTGACTTTCTATCCAACTAAAGAACGCCGAATGGTGAGTTTTATGCTGTTGTGACTTCCAAGTTGAGAGGAAGGAAGAACATCGTTGAAGGAGGTCGAACCTAGTTAGCTTGTTAGGGCTTACGGGCGGAATGACCGAACGCGGGGACAGACCTGTGTTGTGCATGTATGCCTGTGCTGGTTGATACGGGTCAACTTTGAGTTAGCGGGTAAGCGGGTTAACCCATAACTCACCCATTTTTTCAAATGGGTCGAATTTTGAAACCCGAACTCCACTCGTTTGCAAAATGGGTTGACCCTAACCTAGAGTTTTTGGGTCGAGTCAAATCCAACGGTAATTGCGTGTTTTCCCGTACTCTCTCTCTCTCTCTCTCTCTCTCTCTCTCTCTCTCTCTTCTCTTAACCATTCATGAAATGGAATGGGGGAAGGAGGTGGCTTAATTGAGGGTTTTAATATAATGCTTTTAGACATTTTATTTTAAAAAATAAATTTCAACCTTAGCACTGCAACACTCCAAATCCTAGTGTCATGCGCTCTCTCAAATCCCAAAAAACCGGAAAGCTTGACACTGCTGTGCTTGCAAAACCAAAACTTTCATATTAATTCATTTTTAAACTTTGGGTTATTACACATTGTACATTTAGGGAACATGGTCCTTGAATTTTGTCTTCATATTCAGAATAACTTAGAGGCTCTAAGAAACTTGGACCTCCACTCAAGCACCACCATTTAACATATTCAAAATACTCTCACCCAATTATGATTCTCTGAACACTGCTACTCAATAATGATCCTCCGGCCACCGTTACTCGACTACATTACTTTGCCTTATAGTTTTTTTATCCATTATCAGATGGATACATCAATGCTCGCTAACTTTATGATATATATCCTCGCTAATAATGTCAAGTTGTCAACTGATGTTATTGTTTATAAAATTGATGCATAACATCGACAACAACTCTAAATCCCCATGTTAGTGGGATTTATGCTAATGTACAATCAAATGAACAAACAACGATCTCCTAAAGACAGCTTTCATGTCATAGGGCCTTCCAACTTAAACCATATGATATGTTATATAAATTGTATGTTTAGCATTTTAAATAAACGCTCCTCCGAGCAAGAGCAATCAATTGCAACGAATGAAAAATACAAGTAGAATCATTTTAATCAAACTAGGCCCCGTATTTTTTTATCTTTCTTGAATTTTTCACCTAAAAAACTCTTACATCTTTTATAATTTTTGTACTACTCTATTATCCTCATTTGTACTAGATATTCATATAAATGCTAAGATAAAAAGCCCTTCATCTCCCCACTACTATGAATGTCCTGACATGTAACATGTGTCTAATAAGTACTAAAATAAAAAAATAAAAAAACTCACCGCAGAAGAGGTATCAATGTTCTAAATTGTGCAAGAATTCAAATTTCCGATACAATACCCGACACGAAACTACAAAACTGGTATTTCTTCCGATCAGTGGCAATGTAACAGCCAGTGGGCACGAGGCGACAGTAACGTATTAATATTTTTAACTTTCAGTTAGTACGGCAGGGAGCATACAAAGCGCAGGACAAATGAAATTAATTAAGATAGAAAAAAGTTTACAAAGTACTGCTCAATGGAGACGTTAGATTGCTCGAATTGCAAAACAGGAATGAAACCTGCTGCTTGTTGATGTGATAAAGATGGTAATTAATTATGGATTAGTATATGATTAAAAACAAAATACCATAAAACTCTCCCATTAAACATCCTCTATCTCTCTCTAAGGTAAAATTATATACGTCCAGATTCCAATAAAATATTGACATGTGGAATGTACTTGTGTCCGCGAAATTTTAAATCAAGTGCAGGTAAAGCGTAGTCAAAGCACAATAAAAACGCAGTCAAAGTATAGTCAAAAAATATTGTCAAAGCACAATCCACATGTCAAATTTTAATTGGATATTCAGACCTATTTCTAGGTCCGGTGTCCGGAGCTAATAATTTCTCCTCTCTAAGGGCATCCCCAACAGAAAAATTCATTTTTTCACTCCAAAATATAGTAAAACTTTAAAATGCAATTATTCTTCTTTAATTGAACGCCTTTTCTTCTTTTTTCGCGCGCTTCTTGCGAAGGTAACCAACTTTGGCGCGTTTTTCTCTCTTATTCGGCAAATCCCGTAGCGAATTTTTTGGGCGTAGGTGAACAGTCCGACGTCAATATTGACGTCGCATTGTTCACCTACCGGAATTTGATGTACAATTTGGAGTTTAATGAAGCAAATGACGGACACAACTCTCCTTGGCCTATTGGTTGAGAGCTTAGGCTTCCAACTAAGAGGTCCAAGGTTCGAGTTTTTGTGTATGCGTTGTGTGTGTGAGTTTGCCTTAAATGACCTAAATGTCCCAAAAAAAAAAAAAAAAGCAAATGACGGACGTGATACGATAGTATGAAGTTCAGTTGAAGATGATCTAAGAATTCACATCACTTTATAGCAGTGCTGTACGGCATAGCATGTGTAGAAGGAGAGAGAAGGTAAATCAAAAGAATGGAGGGGCTTCATAGACGTATTTTCTGCTTCAACTTCTTAGTCCTCACGGGATTCCAGAGATATAATGAAGGTGTAGGGCGTACACTTCGCCACGCTGTATTGCATGTGAAATGTGAAGTCTTTTCTCTTTCTATCTCTTTCTTTCTATCTTCTATGTACACAGTGAAGGCTGAAAATGAGAGAGACTTGGGGATTTTCCTCTCCCTTCCCACCATTCCCAACTGGCAGTTTTAATTTCATACACAGCGAGGAAACCGAGATGGTGTTGTTCCAGGGATGGATTGGGTAAATGACAAGATGGGTCTGAGATTTGGGTGCCAAACAATTCTTTGTTTTCCGCGCAAAGCTCCAAACTCCTCTTCTTCTCCCTTTTTCTTCTCCTACCATTCCCTGAATCACAGAGGGAAAGAAGAATCCGCCTTACTCTGATTTCGTCAAGCAGTGCTCGTCATGGAGAAAGTTGAGGACTTGGAGGAGTTCGTGGTAAAGGGAGAGAGGGGCTTCTCTGAATGCAGTAGTGGATGTCAATCTGGCTGGACTTTGTACCTTTGCCAGTCGCATGACAGCCCTTCCACCTCCACTCTTCCTAGCGGAGGAGAAGTCTCCGTTCATGAAGATGAAGAAGAGGACTTGTCAATGCTCTCCGATGCATCTTCTGGTCCTCCACATGGCACAGAAGAAACTTGCATCAAGTTTTACTATTGTTCTAATGATCGAGATTTAGGTCTCTCTGCATTTGCTCGTAATGGGGTCAGCAAGAGAAGAAAGGCTGAGGAAAAGAACCTGCAGAAGCAAAGAAGACTCCAGGAGCACTCTTCCTTCCTAGATGACACTGCAAGTTCTCCCTTGCTCTGTTTCTCCGAGGCAAGAAGCCCTCATTTTGGCGTTTTCCCTGTCTCTTTTAGGTGCTTGAAAATAATGGATCTTCTTCTGTTTTGTTTAGGCTACCAGTAGCATCAGCAGCAGCAGCAGGAATCACCTTGTGGATGATGTCTTGGAACTCTCCTGTGGTTTCTCTGCAAACCATTGCAAGGTGGGCACTGGTTTTTCTTCTTTGTTCTCATTTTTTTCCTCAATCTCTCTCTCTTTTTTGTTTGCTATTGAGTAAATGTGCCAACTTCTGCTCTACCTACACAGAAAGAGGCTGCTTTGAAGAATCATATTGGTAATTATCTTCAATCTTCCGCTGCTCTGAATCAAGCACCAGTAAGCATGTTCTTTATAAGATTGATTACAAATAAAGAGAAGGAATGACTGCACCATCTAACTCCTTTTCTTTGTTCAATCTTTGGCTGACAGAACTGCAGGCAAGAAGACGAGAACAATCTGCTCTAAAGAAATAGCAACGAAGATTAGAAATCCATGTGTAGATCTCCAGCATCCATCCATGGCTTCTTTTTTTATTATTCTTCTCTGTTTATTTTATCAACTTGTTCTTTTCTTCCCTTTTCTTCTTCCTGTCAATGCTGTAGGAAACAACATCCTGAACCAGAAAAGATGATCAAATAAAAATTGTTGCACTCGTTTATTTAGCTCTTTTGTTATGAATGAGGGTTGAACAAGACGTACTATTATAAAAAGTGGCTTCTGCTGAATTCTCTGTCCATATTCAACTTGCTCTGTTCTCATCACCTAACCAGGAGAACCCTCACCAAGTTCAAAGCTCAACAGTCACTTTCATGAGCAGGGTGTGTGTACTAATAACTAATGACGTGGTGATGTAAAAGAAAGAAGATATTCAGAGATCCATTTGATGTAAATTTGTGGGAACTCCCAAGTGGCTCATCGAAGGCCAGGCTGGGTGCTTTCTACTACTGGATGGGTGCGTCAGTATTATTGATTGAAACTGTGCGTTATATATATGTGGCAATGTGAACATGGCATGCACATGATGCTCCTGAAAATGACACGTACATAGTATCATTGTTATATTAATCCTCACCCTTCTTACCTAGAGGAATTATTCTACGCAGAACCGCGTCAATAGATCAACCAGAATGCATCATGTCAGCTATATTAAACAGTACCAAGTAAGGGGTGACGTGATACCACATCACCCAGAATGTGCCACCCTGAGAGGGGTGTCCGGAGACCAACCAAAATGTGTCACGCACTCTTTGCTCAGTATCGCTCGGTACTGTTGAAGTGATGCATTCTGGTTGGTCTCCGGACAGCTTCGGTGTCAACACAGAATAATTTCTCTCTTACATGGTCCCTCTCTTCCAAATTTTTATTTATTTATTTCAAATTACTATTATGATTATTATATCAGTGGATTAGTTCATTAACACTTTGTTGTTATGGTTAATCCATAGTTAAAATTAGGGGAAATTGTGGTTGACCTTCATTGGCTGAGTGTTTGATACAAAAGTATTAACTGATCTGACATAAGTGAATCAGGTGTCCCCAATCTCAAATACATCCTGGCTCCTAATTTTATTTAGGGTTATTTTGGGATAACTTTCTTACTGTTTTATTTTTCAAAAAATAATTATAATTTTATATGATTATTATTTTTGTAGAATTTTTTATAGTGAAAAGCTTTTTTTTGTTACGATCAAAATAAGTATGGTTTCTTTTGGGACAATTTTTTTGCTACTTTGTAAAGCAATAAGAAAGCAGTCTCAAACAAAAAGTTTAAGGATTCGTTTGTGGTGATTTTTTTACTGCTTCTCAAAATAGCTATTTAGTATAAAAATTAATTTTTTTGTCTGTTTTTATGCTTTTACAATAGATGTCCATTTTAGCTTTAGAAGAAAGTAAACAAACTGAGATAAATACTCATTTGAAAATTTGTACTATTATATATATTATATCATATATATTTATTTAAATTATAAACTCAATATATCATGCTTATAGTTTTAAGTGTGCATATGTAATAGTATTTGTTGGTGTCTGTTAGGTGAGTTGAAAAAAAAATGGAATTTTTTGAAAAGGTCTTAGATTTGAATCATATGGACATATTTAATAAACAATTATGTCCTATTATTAAAGTTTTTGGAAAATAAATATAAAAAATTTCTTCATACAAGTCCAATAAATAATCATGTACTATATTGATGACTATTAGATATATATGATCTTCATATCATATAATGTCTCAAGCCTCATATCATAGTCAAACATAATTTGATAGAAAATGCCAAAAAAAAGTCCTTTAACATTAATTTTAAGGAAATATAAAACAAAAAAGAGTATGATTTAGTCCTTTGTTTTCATACACAACATATCATTGATATATCAAATTTGAGATATATGCAGGCTCAGGCATGGATGTCTATGCATATTTGAATTATAAATTTTTATAATCAAGATCAAGGCCATGTGAATTCTAATTTCTACAAACATATAGTCCAATTGAACATCTCGATGAGTTGAATCTATCAACATGGTCCAATATGAATCCAAATAAGTCTAAATCTTTAAAAGTTTTGAGATATTAATTAGAGAACCAGATGGTATTCAGACCTCATATGCTTATAGTCAAATCGAGTTTCTCAATAAGACAAATCAAATGAGCTCAAGATCTCTTAATTCTAACAACATAAAAACACTTAATTTCCTTAAAAAGGATATATAATCAAGGAAATTAATACGAGCCTTCTAAAATAGTGTTAATGCGACATATTTTACTTATATTGACACTGTTACTAATTCATTGTCAATGTTATTGTTATTGATTCACTGTTTAGTGGTTTACTATTTCTAAACACATGATTTTTATTAGTAAGCATGAGATATAAGATATTGATTTGATACTTATATAGAATGACCAAATATTATGTGTATATTGATTTGATAGTAGTTCATTATTATGGATTCCAATAGTCTGAATAGATGTTTCAATTTTATCAATTTTAATGATTTTCTTATTGATTGAATAGCACTACTATGACGTATGAATGACATCCGTACTGGGTTTACTTATTTACAAATTTCATTGTTTCCGTACTGCACTGTTTTACTAGCCTCCGTACCGTATTGATTTATTTGTTCATAGATTTTATCATATAGTATGTTTTTTGTTGTTTATGCACATATTCATGATCATATTGATTGTTATTATTATGAACTAAATAATTACATGCATATTATTTATTCACCATTTTTTGAGTTCAATTATAGGATTTTAACTCATTATATGCGATTTAAATGATTTTATGTTAAGCAAGAGAATCAAGAGTGTGTGCTTGATCAGTTATGAGATTCCTCAAGTTTTATTATTGCTTTATTTATTTTTTTCTTTTAATTATTCTTTTATATTCAAGACTCAAGAGTAGGAAGATGAATTATTGTATTTGTATGACTCTTGAGCATTATACATCAATTTTGAATTACATATGTACATTGATGTTTTAATCAATAGAAATTATTTTCGCTAATATTTTATTATTGAAAGAAATTAGATAGATCTTATTGTTATAATTAAAAAAGATAAAAGAAATCATTCTTCCAAATTATATCTAGGACGTGACAATTGTCCTTTAACAACTATTGACCAATTACAATTCTTCGATCACCATGTTCAATTATGGCATCTCAAACAATATCAACCGACTATGATCCTATAACCATCATAGATATCTATTATCTCTCAGCTAATGTCCCTTAACTATGGTCCTCCAACCATAATCATTCGAATATTATTTCCCAATAACCATCAATCGACTATGATAACTCAACTAGCGTCATCTTACTACAATCCTCTGACAAGCATCATATGACTACAACCCTCCGAACATCTACTCATGATTACCATGTTTTGAACAAAATTACATTACTATTCTCTTGATCATTATCATTTCAATTATACTAGACTACTAGTACATTATGACTTCATTACATATCATTATCAATAACATTGATACATTACATCACTTATAAAGTTGATGTAAGAAATTAACAACAACTCTGACTTTCGATATCAACGTACAATCTCTGAAGATAACTCTCATGCCATAAGTCTCTTCCAACTTTTATTAAGGAATATATTCAATATAATTTATGTATAATATATTATATCAACTCCTTCAATTACAAGAAGGATAATATTTATAACTGAATATAAATATTGTTGTTTGATTACATAAACACCCACTTACTTCATTGTCAGCCTTCACCAATAGTGTCAACGCATGACATCACCTATAAAATCAATACACACAATTGACATCAACTCTACCTCCAGACGTCATCGCCAGTGTGCTAAACTTCTTAGTCTTTGCTATCTTCTCCTTTTAAGAGAATGACTAAATAAACAACAAATGAATTTTTGAAGATGACTCTAATGCTACAAAGGTCTTCTAACTTTCACAACGAAAACTATTTTGTACTTTGTGTATAACATATTGTATAAAATGCCTGCTCCAATTACAAGGAAGTGCATATATAATTTGTAACCAGGTACAAATGCTAGTTGGTTTTTCCAAATTTTCAAACTTTTTACATAAATATTTTGGTGTCTCTTGTAATCCTCCTTTATCTCTCTTTGTGCCAGATTTTTGTACAATACTAAGACATTAAATTCTCTCTTTCTACCAACATAATTTTTTTTACATGCAATGTACATATAAAATGTTTTTGAGTGAAAATAGTGCTAGTAAAAGAGCTAGAGTTTATTTTTTCTCAGAGCATCCATCCGAACTTTCTCCTCTAATACATATTAGTATATTACCACCTTCAGAAAATATTTGTATTTTGCAAAATGCCGAAATGTAACGCTTATAAGTTAAGGTTTCATTTGGGATTATTTTCTAATTCTTTCTGAAGCAATTTTCTAGTACAAAAATATTTTAAATTAAAAATTTTTGTACTAAAAAATAATTTTAAAAAACATTAAAAAAGCTTTTCCAAGCATAACCTAAGTCTTGCTCCAATTTTTGTAAGGCAATTGCTATATAAAGTTAAAATTTATTTTATCTATTAGCACATCTTTTTTTATATTTTTTTTTCATCCAATTCTGACTCAAATATTATAATTCAAAATAAAATATTAACTCATATTTTTCGATTTTATTAAATTCCTAAGAAATTTTTATAGCTCATTTATTTGAAATAATTGACATAGATATTATATTTATTAATATTTTTAATAATATATGATTAAATTCCCCTCTTTTTTCTTTATTAATTGGCCGACAAAGCCTTTTTAGAAGACATCGGTAGTATATATAAATAGATTCACATAAATATGGAAGATTCATCCATTCGAAGCTACTTACTATAAACATCTCAAGCAACCATCCAAGCCTAATAATTTAATATAAAGACCTAAAAGTAATCAGCCAATCAACAGCTCCATTGCACCATTTGAGCAATTCTAAAAATCAAAATCTCTATGTTCCCAATCTCCAAATCCTCATCTTTAATTCCTTACACAAAACAATATATGGTCTCTTGTGACAAAGGATTTTCTAAGCCATTCATTCTCCATAATAGAAAATTTTGTTTACGTGTTTTGCATCAGAATGAGTTTCAAAATCTTTAAATTTGTGTTGAGATTAGTGCGGCGTTTGAATATCATATATAGTATTAATCTCCACGTAATCCCAAAGATTTTAAAGAACAGCTTGACACAAAGCACATCAGGAACAAACATCTTTTTTGAGGGTGGGCAAAATAGGATTGTGAAATGTATAATTTTATATCTATGACATAGAAAAAAATGTATTTTTTTTTTTAAATATTTGAGCATCTATATTTATTGAAGATGAAAAAAATAATTTAAATAATTATTTTCTTCAAAAAAAAAAAATCAGCATGAGCTTTTCTTGGCTCCACCCTGGCTTAGATAAAGTATTCTGTGCGAATATCCTGGAGCAACAAGAATGCGTCATATCAGTAGTACTGAGCTGGGTACCGAGGTACCCGAGCTAGAGGTGACGTGATGTATTCTAATTGATCTCTATATGACGTTCGACGTCCACACAGCCCTGCCAGAATATCATTAGATAAATTTATTTCTTTTATATTTTATTTGTAGAAGAATATAAGGTTTTCTCCCATTTAGTGGCCTCCTAGCCTCATGTCCTTCCAATAAGCAATTTTCTTAGAAGCATGTGCACCCAACCAGCAAACAGGCATGTGCAGACACATGCAATGGCACGTATGCACACAATCTCACATGCTCACACGTGCGGATGTATGCTCTTGATCATTCCAAGGCTCAAGACTGAAGATTCTTGACAAGAATGAGGTGGGCCCAATAAGCTGTAACCTTCAAGAGATAAGCTGTATAATAAATACATTCGGGATTTATAGTTCTCATTTCTAAGATATTGCTTATATTGATTCAATTCATTTCATTTAAGTTTAGGACTTATAATTTTATTTTTTTTATTATAAAGTTTTATAAGCACTTCAATATAATAACGTTTAATCATAAAATTCTCAAAGAAAATTTATTAATGACAATGAAAAACACTAAGAATATTATGATTTAACTCTGTATTTATATGATATACTATGATTATTTATTCTTAAATATCTTTATAAACAATTATAATTATAATATATTTCCAATTCTAAAATACTTGAAGCTAATATTTCTGACAGTTTTCTTACTATTTTTTAAAATAATTTTTCAGTTTATTTTTTTTTAAAACTAAAAAATTTTATATTAAAAAAACTATTTTAAAAAGCAATAAAAAGACTATCCAAAATAAAGCTAAAACCCTTCAGATCAAAATCTATATTCCAAGCGTGGAAATCAAAGATGCATGACTTTTAGATATGCTACGGACCAACCAGAATGAGCCACATCAATAGTACTGAGCGGTACCGAGACGAGGTATCGACGTGGCTCATTCTGATTAATCTCTGAACAGCATTCGACATCCACACAGAATAATTTCTCTTACATTTCAAATAACTAATATCAATCTGTGGTGCATAGCAGGGGAACTGCTGCTAATAATGGATAAAAGCTAAAATCTCATCAAGTTCAAATAAAAAGACAGCGAAAAAGCTTTTTAAGTTACAACAATGGCATAAAATACATAACATTTAGCAAGAAAAAGTTCACTGGTATGCCTTAACATCCTTTAATATATAAACATAACTGATGAAAATACAGAACTGCACTAATAAAAATGGCAATGAAAATTACCATTTACCACAAAATATGCTATCTTTTTTCTTCTTCTTTTTCGGTAGTGACAGCAAGGGCTTTTTCTCTTGCATACATATCAAACAATAATTAACAGACAAACCTAACAATCCTTATACAATCGAATGGTTCTTCTAATTACAAATTTACTAGTTCATCAAAATGTGTCGCAATTTTCTATAGTGAGCAGAAACTGTATATCCATTTCCTCTAAGTGGAACAGCACCAGGAGTGCCATTCCCTAACTGAGAATCATAGCCATCTGCATTTTCATTATTTAATTTACTGAAAGCCTACCATGAATTAGCAAGCATAAAAGCTTGGCTAGAATGGTCCAAAGCAGCAGTATTTCTTCCCAAGCTTTGAAATCCTTCGAACAGACTTTGATCCTGATCCATTTGAACTGCTGCTGCTCTGTGAACTCCCTGAATGAGTTCTTTTCGGATGACCGCGAAGACAAGAAACTGATACAGATGTAGTGGGATTGGATTTATAGACTGGGCTGGAGGTTTTTGGTGAGCATTCATGGGGCAGGGGCGGGGGCGGAGATGAATTGGCAAGCCTGGGTTCATCGTCCTCTGAATGGCTATTGTTGATCGTGTTTGAACCTAAGATTCAAACACTTGGATTAAGTACAGAATGCTACCAATTGCACATGAAGGTCAAATAGCTAAAATAAGTTAGCGTGGCAAGATTTTGCGGACGAATCAACACTAAGGCTTTGTTTGGGATGGCTTTCTTATTGTTTCTTAAAAGTAGCTTTTTAGTACTAAAAAATAACTTTAAGAAGCAGTAAGAAAGCCATCCTGAACGAAGCCTAAATCTAAAATTCAAGCCCTCACCCTTAATGTTCCTGCAGCTTTCATTCTTAAGGTCCCTCAACAAGGCTTCAGCGTCAAAACGATCGTCTGAATTGCTAGATATGAGGCTGGAATCATCTGAGCTGGATGAAGTTGATTCTAGATCATACAGGTCTTCTAGTTCCAGGTACTCCCCCTTTTCAACATATGCATTCAAATCTCCAGCAGAATCACTGGTTAGAAGATCCGGGCTGCTTCCGTCGTGCCTCTGCTCGGGTGCAGCAACCTGCACATTAATAGAAACAGCAAACACATTGAATGTAGTTCAGCTGGATAGGAAAAATGTTAACATGGCTACAGATACTAATAGTTTGAAGCAAAACAATTTTGGAATGCTTAGATGCATTTTTCAAAGCCAATATGCGACACAGATAAACTAATATTAAGGAGCATATAAACTTGTTATATGAATTTATATTTTTTATTCAATTGTTTTCTTTGGCTGAAAAGAAAAAAAAATTATACAAGGAAAAGATCCAAAATTATGAATGTATTCGGGAGGTACATGCAGCTCTCCATCAGGGGTAGAACCAGCCTTAATTTTAAGGGGGAACTTATAAGTAAAAGTGTAGAATTTGGCTCGACCCTATTTGTTCATATCCTTGATCGTTGTACGCTTCGCAGATATGTCGGCGGTCCAAGGGGGCAGCGTCCCTAGCAGAGTTTGACATGCCCGATCAGGGCGCGGGGTCAAGGGGCAGTGCCCCTGGAACAAATTTTGACTATAAGGATATTTTTGGATTCTCTTTACTGTTTCTTTTTGTATTTGATTTATCGTTTCCTAACAATAACACCTCTACACAATTTGTTTAATTATGCTGAGGGCAATTGCCAAAAGACCATAGTATTTTAAAACTTTTAAGAGGGACAATTACCTAAAAACTCTTGTAAGAAAGACTAAAAAATAGATGGAGGAAGATAAATTACCTAAAGAATCATATAATAAAAATTTTTTAGGGGGCAATTGCCCTGGGCTTAAGGTGGATCCGCCCCTCCTCTCCATTAAAATCAAGAAGAAATGGACACACCATAATTTCAATGAAGGAGAATAACTTCCATTCAACTGGCTGTCATGAAAGATTACAACTTTTTATCTCAATTGCATATAGCTACCGTGCAGATAAAGCTCAATTAATCAATGCATCAAATCAAATCAATTAAAACAGAACAAAATCAAAACTAACCCAAACCTTCCTCATCCAAGGTTCTAAATCCTAATTATTAGGCCGCCTTACTTAAAAGGTGAAATTGTAAGACCCACTTGTATGTCTCTTTAGTATTGAAGTAGGATCCATAAATAAGCCACTCAAAGATCATAGAAATTAGTCTTAGCCCTCAAACAAAAAATCAATCAAAATTCAAATCAAAATGTACAAATTTGCTTCTCCAAAACTGGAGAAGTAAGCCTCACGCTCAAGCATGCCCTCAAATTGGGGATTATAAGCTCCAATCTCTAGGCATCTTATCAAGTGGAGTAATAAGCCGTTAACTTTAAAATGCATCCACTTCAGAATTCATACAAGATTGTAAGTCCTATTACTGAGCATCCTCGGTATGTAACCCCCAATCTTATGTTTAACATAACACTCACTAAATCACACCTTAGATACGCTAACATAAATAAGTTCATGGGTTGTTTTGTAACATACAATCATAGATCCTTTTGTTATGCCTTATTTACAATAAAAAATCCTAAAACCTTGGACAAGCAGACACAAAGCAAGCACATAAGACCATATTCTAAGTAAACCCCAAGACATTCTCCACTGTACTTATTGAGCATTAAACCTTAATCTTGAACCAAGCTTATATCAAAAAGATTAATTTCAAGTATCTCAGTCTCTTTGATAGAAGTCTTAATTCACACACAAACCATACTTGGGCTGCCATAAATCCAGTAAACACACAAGAATAAACTGCAAAATAAATAAATAAATCAACATTGAGCCAAGTTCGTACTAAGAAAACAAACTTCGAATCTTGTGGGACTTATGTACAAAACGCGGAGATGGAAGCCACATCCCTTAAATCCCTACACGTTGAATTAGTACCAAATACATGAATTTAAAATCTCAAGTAATTTCTATCAAAAATAGGCTGTAACATAACCCACCAAATAAATCTTTGGGATTGATCAAATACTTTTTAGTCACATTAAATGTCCCAATCTATCTATGAGCCTTCCACCAAATACAAATTGAACCTTCCATCAAACTCGTGTGCTCAGAACATTTCTTTAAATTGATTGTATTCCAACCCAAAGCTCAAGTTCACAACTTAACGCACCTTGTGGAAGCGCGAAATCATGCTCGGTCGTGTAGAAGTTGAACTCAATAGCAAGGGATACCCCTATGAGAACTAAGGATCAAAATTTCTTATAAGAACATCAATATCAAAGAATGTCCTACGTTACATAAATCATAATCACTCATATGCTCTAGGATGCTCCTTTTTCCAAGTGAATTTAGTGTGGGATTCGAAAATTCGCGCCCGGCCTCTCATCATCTAGGAGAGTTTTACCAAATTAGATTCCGGGGAAAATTTTTAGAAGGCATATTGAGTTTGAAATAAGACACTACTCAGATATTTCACCCTCATTTTGCGAGGACTTTATATTATGAGTTCTGATTTCCTATAAGCACAAGCCCCTATAGTTAATTATCATCCCTCCCGATAATGAGAGAGAACATTCGATTAAGGCTAGCCATCGATCAGATACATAATATGTAACTGGCATATAGTAGCAGTGTGAGTTTAGTTGTTAAAAATTTAATATTTAAAATAAGGAATTCACGATCTAATGCTTAAAGTGGATGGTGAGGGATCTAATGTTCCATCGCCCTGGGTAATTATGGTCCCTGGTCTACTTAGTCATAGGAGGTAGTTAACCCAACCTGATAGAAGGATCATTGTCGACAGTCATGGATTGTTTCGTCTAACGGTACCTTATAGACATAGGATGGATATTAGCCTAAGGGGATAAATTTGAATCAACATTAACTAACATAGAGCATTGTGCCCTAGCGATTATATTATATTGATTCATATATCAAAGATTTGATATCTTTTAGGAGCATACAAACTATGACATTAACCGAAATATAGTGGAGTCATTAAACCAAACAACTAGGTCAGAGGGTTATGGTCGTAATCGTTAACCACGTGGAGCCATCCGACCAAACGAAGAGTTATTTACGGAGCCATCGGCCAAACCGCTGATCAGAGGACCAATGCCACGTGCTTACTAGCAAGGGACAGATTGAGAATGAATTCTAGTGATATTCTCGAACAGACATCAACTTTTTGTGAGCTTAAGTGATATATAAATTTATCCACCTCGGTAAACTGTTATGGAGGGTGGATGGATTTTTCTTTAATCGTTTGATGGTTGAATTTTAATTTTAAATTTTGGTATTTTTGGATTTTTGAATTTCATAGGAATTTGAGAATTTGGGAGGCATTATGAACATTTGGGGACTCATCCGATTGAGATTTTCTGTCAACACGCCCATCATCAGAGTTATTATGAGTGATTTCACTTGTTGCATGAACCTTATCAACTCTATTTATTTGCTGACAGAGGATCGAGTTTTTAGCGGGTGTTATGCCTTTATTGGTGATTTTTTTATTATAGGCCTTGAAGGCCTAATATGAACATATACAAACAAATATCTCGGTCGATGCCGTGATCGTATACTTGTTTGATAGTTCGAGGCGTGTCGACTCCTATCTGCTTGCATAGAAGGATAGGGGTGGAACTTGGGTTTATCATTTGAACCGCACAACATCCTCAGACATCATATGTGTGCATGCATCAAGCTCGTCAGAGCTCATGCAGGTATTTAGGAGGCATTTTTGAAATGCTTGTAGCTGATCAGCTGTGCGGGGAACTGTCAATTAAATGCGCGCAACTTTCATTATGGGAGCTTGTAGACACCATATGTCTGCTTGTAAAAGTGTTGCATATCCGATGGCATGTTGTCGCACTATGGGTTGCTCATTGCTTTATACATGTAAATTGTCATGCACTAGCTAGTTTTTTGCTATGGTTGTTCCTAATAGGTGTTTTGTATGTGCTGCTCATCATCCGCCTTTGCTTGCAGTGGATCAGTATATTTACCGACCATTGATTGATTATCGACTGTAAGGGTATCGTAGTATCTATTTTTTGTTGCTGGTTATCATTGTTGTGCATAAGGAAAATATTCCATCATTGCCAGCAGGTACTCGCACTCATCGCGTGCTGCATTGTGAATGTTTGCAAAGGACTTTGTTGTATTGGTTGCATGTTGCTAGCTATCACCCACAAATGGACTACTACATGAAAGAGGAGTCTCCTACAATGACTCACAAGAGCTTGCATTTATTATACATCATCCACCTTTGCTTGTAATGGATCTGCGTATTTGTTTGATAATCACTCATCATTAACTACGAGGATGAATCGGCATCTACTGCACATTGTTCGTCGTCACCCGTAAGATGATTATCGTATGTATGACAAGTCTTCTCCATATGTTTGTAGGTACCTATACGCATTGTAGATTTTTGTCTTCACTTACAAATGACACATCGCATGAATATCCATATGCACAGGAGATTCATCATATCTGCAACATATCCCTTATCGTCACTTGCATGTAAATCAATATGCTCTTTTATAGCTTTGATGTTGGCTACCGCCCAGGCTACATTCGTCGACTATCTCCTCATGCTTGTTAGTTAGCAAGCTATTTGCATTCGTTGCACATCTTCCATACTATAGTCATGAGCGTATTAATGTGTTTATTGTGACTCTTCAGTTCTTTCATGAACATGAATAGCATGAACGTTGTATGTAGGTTACCACCATTCACAGATGAAATCTTTGTCAAGAATTTTGTATGCTTTCCTGTGATCAAATTACACGACCCTTATGATTTTTATTACTTCCGGGGTTCAATGTGTTCATTGTATATTACGTCGTATGTGTTTACAAGGAAATCTAAAATCCCGACGTCTCCCCTATTTAGGGGAAATTTAAGGAGTCCGGGCCTTCCTTCCACGCTAAAGAAAAGTGTGTACGGTAGGTGTCGGGTAACACCGCGGCCGTAAATCTTCAATCCCACCAAGCTTAAGAAAGGCGTGTATGGGTCTTCAGGGTACGTCTTTGAAATGCACAGTTATTTTACCGCAGGTACTGAGGCATCTACGGGTGCTTATATTTGTCCCCATCACGCTAGAAAAAAGCGCGTGCAGGGCCTACCTGCCTCGCCGCAGGCACCGCACTGGGATCCCTTCTCACCATGCTAAAGAAAGGTATGTATGGTTGGTTTTCTGGCTCAGCGCAAACGTCGAATGTAGGGTTTGAAGTCTAGGAATTATACATTTGCACACAATGTTTTTCTTTGAATTTATTTGTTCATTGCATTAGTTTTTTTAGGTTCTAATTCTCATTTTTTTTAGTCTACACCTAAAATGGTCTTTGATCTATAAATCATTACTTCTTTTGTATGATCTATACTCATTTTATTTTTCTAATTGCATTATAAACACTAGACAGTCCAAATTTTATCTAGGAGAAACCTATGGCAAAGTCTTAAAGAACTCTCATACTGCTCAACATCTGATCCCTACTTTAAAAAAACCCAAGGAAAGCAATCACCCCTTAAGTGCTTAGATTTAAATGAGAATTTAACTTTTAATAGCGCACAATGGAGAAAAAGGATTCATGTAGCCAACCCCATATAGTGAGATAAAGGCTTGATGATGTTGTTGTTGTCATCTCAATATCAAATTTTATGTGCCTAAATCAAATGTACTTTGACCTTGTTGCCTTAATTTTATTTTTTACTATATGTATGCTTGTTTTATTTCGCAACTGAGTTACATGTTCACTTAATGAAATGGATAATTCAAATAAAAAGGGTGGCATATCATAACCTAAGAAATACTCTCAAAGTAATCCTCTCATAAACAGAAACATCAAAACTAAAGATATATTCCATGCACAATGTTTGATAAAATATGCAATCTATTTTAAATCCTCTCAAGGAAAATTAAAGATTAATACTGTATTTATACCTCAGATTGGTTTGCAGTATTAGTTGGAGAGTTTATTTCTTCTTGTTCTAGAAAACGTAACAGCATAGACTCTGCGTTCACACCATCAGCATTATCTGAACTCACAGGGCTGCAGTGCTCCGTATCTGGGGGCTTTTGATCACCAATAATTGCCCTCTGGTCTTCTTGCAAGAATACCCTACACATTGAGCTACAGTCCTGCAAAACAGGTTCATTGCATGAGCTACTGAATGAAGATATATGCATCAACAAATAGTAACATTTATTGCTTATGTAGACACCTGCGCAGCATTAAGTCCTTGACATTCCTTATGGGTTCTCTGATAATCATACATCAACCAGCCTGTTCTATTTCCTAGTGGTTCTTGGCCTATATAGAATTCCCATGTGGTTTTTCTACCAGCGGCTACATTGTCTGTGTATATTGTACGATAAGCCATGGACCTCCAGTATCCAATTTGTATTGCTTGAAATGTGTTCCGTTGATTTGAAGAACATTCATCTTCAAAATGGTACAAATACCACTTGCCCTCTGTTGAAAAAGTTAAAATTAGAATAGCTACCAATCTTTCTGTTTGAGAGAGTTACGAAGCAAAAAAAAAAAAATGATAAATACATAAAGAATTTACTAATTATCTACTGCATACATTGAGAAAGAACAGTTATCCTGATATAGAACAGAGGGAGGGGGGAAGATGATAAGATTAAAAAATCTGAAATCAAATTTCAGATTTCCTCTAATCAAGAGATTTAAAATTTGAAATTCAAATAAGATGGAGGAAAGGATAAATAGGTGGTTAATTATTCCCCTAATTAAATTTCTTAACAAAGAAGGAAATAATTAAAATAGGGGAGAGAGCGGGGCCGGCCTAATGAGGAGGGAAAATGATAAGTGTCCACATACAATGTATGTGGATCCATGCATTAATGGGAGATTGAAGAGTTAAATCTGAAATAATTTCATATTTAATATGATTGAAGGATTTTCTAAAATAGATGTATGTTATTTAAAAATAATTTAAAATTCAAATTCATTTGAATTTGAATTCGAAAACTTTCCAAATAAGATAAGAGCTAATTTAGGAAAGTAATGATGGTGAAATGAAATTGTAATTAAGGAATTAATTAATCAATCAATTTCAGAATTGATTAATTAATTGAATGAAAGAGGTTACAAAAAATAAGGTAATTAATGAGGATGGATTTGAAATTCAAATTAGATTAATTTGAATTTAAAATCTTTCCAAATTAAGAACAACTTAAATAAGGAAAGATAGAATTTTTTTTTTTTTGAGGGAAGTGGGGCTAGGGAAGGAGGTGGCCGGCAGTTTTGTGGAAGAGGAGGGGTTTATGGGAGAATCGGCCAGTGGAAAGTGAGGGATTTTGGCCGGCGGTCAAGGGAGGAGAAGAAAATGATTTAGGGAAAGAAATATATAACCGCGAGCCCGGACACATCCTGCAGCTGACGGGTACTACATTGCCCTTCTCCAAGGGACTTCAAGCCACGAGCTCAGACCCATCCTGCGGCTGGTGGAAACTTCGATTCCCTCCCATAGGAATCTCACCAAAGTTCTCTCCAAAGAACACAAGTGCAAACAAAATTTTATTAATAATCCATTATTGTCTAATACAAGAGCAAGGGCCTCTATATATAGGCCTTAAAAGAAATTAAAAGACAAATTTGCCCCTTGGGCTTACATAAGTCAAGTCCCTTAAGTAAAGGTAAAAATGGAAAATGCATAATTAAATAAAAATTACAATTAATAAACTAAGATAAAATGGAAAGATCTCGGCCGTCGATCTTCGTCTCTTCCTTTGATTAACGTCCACCGTCTGATGTCCGCATCATTCTCCCGGGGTGCAAAATAGCTCGACTCCGTCGAGTCCACACCGTTGGTAACCATGCTCTGATACCAAACTGATGTAGAACGGAGGGAGGGGGGAAGATAATAAGATTAAAAAATATGAAATTAAATTTCAGATTTCCTCTAATCAAGAGATTTAAAATTTGAAATTCAAATAAGATTGAAGGAAGAATAAATAGGTGGTTAATTATTCCCCTAATTGAATTCCTTAACAAAGAAGGAAATAATTAAAATAGGGGAGAGAGGGGGGCCGGCCTAATGAGGAGGGAAAAGGATAAGTGTCCACATACAATGTATGTGAATCCATGCATTAATGAGAGATTGAAGAGTTAAATCTGAAATAATTTCATATTTAATATGATTTAAGGATTTCTTAAAATAGATGTATGATATTTAGGAAAGAATTTAAAATTCAAATTCATTTGAATTTGAATTCGGAAACTTTCCAAATAAGATATGAGCTAATTTAGGAAAATAATGCGGGTGAAATGAAATTGTAATTAAGGAATTAATTAATCAATCAATTTCGGAATTGATTGATTAATTGAATGAAAGAGGATACCAAAAATAAGATAATTAATGAGGATGTATTTGAAATTCAAATTAGATTAATTTGAATTTAAAATCTTTCCAAATTAAGGACAACTTAAATAAGAAAAGGGATTTTTTTTTAGGGAAGTGGGGCTAGGGAAGGAGGTGGCCAGCAGTTTTGTGGAAGAGGGGTTTATGGGAGAATCAGCCGGTGGAAAGTAAGGGATTTTGGCCGGCGGTCAAGGGAGGAGAAGAAAAGAATTTAGGGAAAGAAAGATACAACCGCGAGCCCGGACAAATCCTGCAACTGGAGGGTGAATTTGCGTCTACCGTCGGATGTATAATTAAATAAAAATTACAATTAATAAACTAAGATAAAATGGAGGGATCTCGGCCGTCGATCTTCGTCTCTTCCTTTGATTAACGTCCACCGTCGGATGTCCGCATCATATCCACTATAGACAAATGGAGAAAAAAATCAAAATGGTCAATAAACTATCTAATGTGTCCAATTTAATCTCTTGATTTTTCAAATATGATACAAAATAATCCTTAAATTCTCAAATATGATATAAAATAATCCAACAGAGGAATACTTCGAATTATATTTGAAGAGTCACGTGACTAAATTGAACACATTAAATAGTTGCGACTAAAATGGATCAATATAAATAGTGTAAGGACCCTTTTGACATTTTTACTCTTAGATAAGGAGATTATATTCTTTGAAAAAAGAAAGGTGGGTGAATTTGCTATGAAATTTTGAAGTGCGTATTTGTCGGACATGCAGGATGTGGTTGTTAAGGTGAGTACATAAAATTTTAAGATGTGATGTTTAGTTGTTCATTTTATAGTTTTTTTTTTTCTAGTTTGTTTATTAGATAATATTGGATATAATATGCCTACTTTGATGGTTCCTACTGTTGCAAGTTATTTTGATTCAAACCTCGAATGTCCTCAATCACTTGTCTCCAACCCTCTAATTTTTCCTACTTTGTTCTAGCGTTCCTGATTTATGCATTGTAGATTGGAATGAGAAATTTGGTTAGCGATTGAGGTATTGATTGTTGTAACTTCTTGACGCAGTGATCTTTGGCATTTATTATAATGTATTGAATTTTTGAATTATTTACTACAAATAGAAAAAAATAGATAACCCACGCTATAATTTTGGAATTCCAAATGATATATGGCTTCGCAATTCATCATGATGTTTGGACTCACCTTATTTAAATCTTGGAACTCATCCACATGGAATTAAGTGAGATATGTGAGATTTGATTCCTGTGTAACTGATAGTTCTAAGGATAATTCTGGGACAGGACAGTTATTCGGTTTTTAGAAAATTAAAATTTATTTATTAGTGTTGTTTGATTATTTTGAGACTTAAAAATTAAAATGGGATTAATTTAAATCTGTGTCGATTGATAATGTGCTAACCAACTATGAAATGAGGAGTTTATAAATAATAGTTTGAAGTGTGTGATTAGTAACTTCTAGATTGGTTAATTTTTTTTTTTAGTTTCAATCTTTTGACTAAAATTGGAGATATGATTCCTGATGAGGACATCCGATAGTGGAGGGTTTATCATAGACAGCCACGATTGCATCCCTTTATTTCTGAGTTATTATTTGTATTTTTATTTATTATTGTATTGTTTCTGATTTTACCCTCACTTCAGGGAGTATGTTCTTATGCCCCTGAGGCGCACTTTTGTCTTTTGATGTTTACTATTGTACTTGGCTATTTATACCCATTTTCTCTTCTTGAAAGGGGAAGATGATTATTATGAAATTATTTTCTCCACTTGTGCCTTGGTGAGTCTTGAGAGCTCCTGAAAGAGTTGAAGCCACAAGGTGAGGGGGCAACGTATCACCTGTGAGCCGCAGGAAGCTTCCAGGCTCATGGTCCATCTCCTCCCTCCCCAAATCGTAAGTCGCCTCTCTTTTCCCTCAAAGTTGCCGACCATCTTCCCCCCTCCCCTCCAAACCACCGGCTATCACCATCCTCCTCCCTCCAAACTGCCGGCTCTAAGCCCCAACAACATCGGCCCTAGCCCCACCTAGCTCAAGCCCCACAATCTCCCATAGCTGCAGGCCTTCCCCTCCAAACCCTAACCACCAGCCACCCCTTTGAGAGTTCGTTAGGGATGTTAGGCCCCTTATGAAGGGGCCTAAGGCTAATTAAGAGAGAGGTGAATTGATATTTTAAAACAAACACAATCTTAAAACCAAAAACCAATATTCACCAGAAAGAAAATACAATGCAAAAATTAAATGTGAAAGTAATAAAGGAAAAAAACACACCAGATTTATAGTGGTTCGGTCAAACCTTGACCTACGTCCACTCCTCGGAGGCGCCCTCCGAGTATTGCACTAAATCCAGTGTCTCTCCTTTAGCCCCCACAGCTAGGCGAAAAAGCCCTTACAGAATCACTTCCACCTTCCCCGGTGCGGCGGAGTGGCCTGGTCCTTTGACACCAAAAAGATCTTCTTCTTTGGTGAACTTCCCTCAAGACAAGCATTGAATCCGATATTACTAAGGTGCGAGCTTGCCGGAGCAACCGTGTGGAACCCCCTCCACACTCCCTTGAAACACCCTCCAAGGATCTTCTCCCTCTCTCAAACTCCACCATTTCCTCACTCCCTTTCAAGCTCTCTCTTCAAATTTTCCCCAAAAGAACGAATCTACAATGGCTGCCAAAGACACTTACAAAGTGACTTGTCAAGGCTTAAATAAAAGATCTCAAAACGAGCTCATTAATGCAACTTGCCGACTTGATCATCCTGGCCGAACAGTATAAAATAAGCTCAATCAGCCGGGACGATTTGGGACGATCAGAAGAAAAATTGGTTACATCGTTCAGGCCGATGCAATATCGTCCTGACCGATTAGTTTAAAACCGAGTACAATCGTCCTGATCATCGCCCTGAAACGAAGCTGGCCGATGTCAATCGTCCATGACATCGTCCCGGCCGATCCTATGATTGGCCCGGCCGATGTGATCGGATCAATCAGCCTTTAATGCTTTCCATAGATACCAGATTAATTTAGGCATAATTGAGTTAGATCGTCCTGGATGATGTGGATATCGTCCTGGTAGATGTCATAAAATAAAGAATACCTAAATTGATC